AGCCATGGGGCCCTTCTTAAAAGCAGCTGGATAATCAGCCTTCAGCCTCTGGAAAAAAAAACAAACAAACAATGAATATGGGGAATTTAGTGGAACATGGGAAGAATGAACTAAAACAGAATGAAGAGAGGAAAACCTAGACAAGACGCACAATGACAACAATAGGCAATATCAAAAGTCATCATAATTATTGCTAAATGCAATGACCAATTTTGACTCCCTGGTACGGATGTACACTTTCTTTCTCTTGGTGGAAAAGTAGAGGACGACAGGTACAGAATATTGTATGTGCAGCTGAATAGACATTGTTATTTTGTTGTTTGGTTTTGCTTGACTATTTTTCTTTGTTATGGGAGAAGCTTCAAGTGTGTGTATGGGATGGGGATGGTGATAGAGGTATATGGGGAGCCAGATAAAAGTACAAAAGGCATCAACAAAGCATTTTTTAAAATCAGGAAGGTCTCTGCCCTCAAGGAATTTATGATGTAGCAGAGGGATGTGAGAGTAATATAAATAACTATAAAGCAAAATTTTTTTTTTGTCCAAAATATTATTTCAGCATGTAGGGATGAAAAATACCCTCCACCAAAGTAGGTCTATTTCTTTTCAAATTCAAATTAGGAACTTGTTATGACAGGTAAAGTGATGAAACCTTAAGAATTTAAGAAAAAAAAAATTTGCTATAATACTAACGTACAGAGAATGAGGTTTTCCCCGGTCAAAGCATCACACTAGAGCAATCAGGCCTAGCTGGCAACAAAAATGCATAATAAAGGCAGGAATGCAAGACAGATGGTAGGAAAACACTGACCTGGCTCTCTTAGCCTCTTTTGTTCTGGTTCAAATTCATTTACACTTAGCCAGAGAGTACCTTGGGAGCGTAAGAGTATCAGACCCTTAAGGTAGTTATCCATATCAAGAAACTTTGATCCCTGACTAGACTTAGTTCTGTAGTTAAAAAGAAAAGACATCTTAGTCTGCGAGCAGTCTGCTTGGCTTTCTGTTGGCTGAGTGTGGGGGGCTATGACGAAAGAGCTTATCAGTCTGCTCTCATTGAAGAGTTCTTGCCATTACATCCTAGCAGACCAAAGCCAAAACAGCTTCAGCCTCTGAATGGATGAGTGACTCTGGCTTGAAGTCACCAAAAGACATCAAGGGTCTTGCAGAGTTAAAGATCCAGTTGGCCTTCCACACATTCCCTACCTGTGGTCCTGAGAATCCCTATGCATCGTCACTCTTCCCAAGCATGTTTTGTTTATTTGTACCCTACATTTATGGGAGGAATATCCTACTGTAAATTTTCTCAGAGTGCTACTGCATTAAACGCCTTTGCTCTAAACTAACTGTCTTCTAGCGGACTTGAGAAAATTAAATGGACTGGTAATGGCTTGTGACCTATTGTTTTCAATGGAAATGAGCCCATAAGAGTATCTTGAACCTGGGTTAGCTATTCTGGGGGTTCTACAAGTAAGACGGAAAGTACCTAAAGTGCTATGCTCAGAAATACACAATTCTCCAGGGATTCTAACAGAAGCAGGTTGTAAAAGGAACCAGAGTTGGGGAGATTCGTCAGGGCAATTTCCTTCAGTTCACATGGGAGCCAGTCAAAGTATTGATCAGAATCACAGATGATTGACTCTCTAGAAGGGATCTTAGCAACCTAATCCTTGATTTTAGAGATAAGGAACTAAGGCTCAGAGGATCAAAAAAGATGTGCCCAAGATACAGGCTAGTATGTGGCAGATCTGGACCCACAATAAATAGGAGAGCAGAGGATGATCATACTAGTGGTCCAGGGTTCAAATCAGGAAACAAGGCAACAAGAACTCATTCCAGGCATAAAGAAAGCACAATATCCCAAAAGCTAAAGCAAGAAGGAGTAACAATTTAACCCAGATGTGACTTTGAATCATTGAACAATTTGAGCCTCAAAATACTCTGGGGAGGAACTGGAAGGACACTGCATTCATTTGGGAATTGGTAGATTGGGAGATGGTACTTTTCTTTCACATTGATGTCTATGCTGATTAAATGCTTATAACAAGAGCAGCTAGCTCTTATACAGCTCAATGTGTGCAAAGCTTTATTTTATCCTTACAATGCTCTCATTAACCCTATTTTACCAATGAGGAAACTGAGGTAGATAAGTCAAGTGATCTGCTCAGGGTCACACAGCTATTAAGTGTTTAAGATCAAATCTGAACTCGTCTTTTTGACTCCAGGTCCGGCACTGTGTCACCTAAATGCCTCTTGCATTTCCTGGTCTGGGTCTGTGAGTATGGTGAACAGGTGAAAAACCTACACTGGGAATTTCCAGTTTGGCGACTGGATTGATTCAAATAAGGCAAGATAGGTAAATTATAATTAAAAGTCTCCATGTTTAGGACCTGAGTCCATACTCACAAATTCACAGAAGAGGGAACCACAGGTTATACTTACACAGAATTTAATTTTGGAACAGAAGTTCATCAAATATTCTGAAGAGAAAAAGTGATTTCACAACAGTTTTAAAATAGCCAAATCCCTTATTGCCACATTCATGTAGAAGACAGTAGGAAACAGGAGTTTGGGAAGGAAACGTTTGCTGGCTGATATTCCTGGGAGAAGAAATGAACGACACGGTGCCATTTGGTATGTGGCAGTATCGTAGAGAGAGTGCTGGAATTGTAAGACTCGGGTTAATCCCAACTCTGTTTTTTGTTGAGTGATCCAGCTTATTGCCAGTCAGTAAACAAATGTCACATAACAAGCATTTATTAAGCATATACTAGGTGCCAGGCATTGCACTAAGTACTAGGGATACACTAAGAAGGGCAAATGCATGATTCCTTCCCTCAAGGAAACACATTAGAATGTATCTTCCACATTCTAATAGAGGAGAGAATGCACAAAAAAAGTGTATATATAATTTATATATATATATATATATATACACACACACACACTATATACTTGTGTGTGTGTGCTTGTGTAGACACACATACAGAGTGCAAATGGGAGGTAATCTCAAGGGAAAAACAGCAGTGTGGGAAAGGGAGGGGTGACCAGGAAAGGCACAACGCAGATGGAATTTGAGTGGTCTTGGAAGGAAGGTGGAAAGGAGGGAGAACATTTCAGGCACGAAGTAAAAAGACGGAGAGCCCATAGATGGAGTATTGCAAGAAAAAGCAAGAAGACCAGCATTTTTGGATGTCAGAGTACACAGAGGAGAATTAAGTGTAATAAGATTGGAGACAGGAAGGGGACAGGTGTAAAGGGCTTTAAAAGCCAAAGAGTACTTTATATTTCTATTTGATCTTCGAGGTAATAGGGAGCCACCGGAGTTTGGGTTGTGAGATGACTTGGTCACAGCTGTGCTTTTAGATCACTCTGACAGCAGAATGGATGATGGACTGGAGTTGGGAGACTTGAGGTAGGAAAAAAACAGAATGCTACTCAATTTGCTGTTGTTCAGGCATGTTCAACTCTCCATGACCCTATGTACCTTAGCATGTCATGCCTTCCTATCCTCCATTATCTCCCAAAATCTGTCCAAGTTCCTATTCGTTGTTTCCATGATACTATCAATCCATCTCATCCTTTGTCATCCTCTTCTCTTTTTGCTTTCAATCTTTCTCAACATCAGGGTCTTTCCCAAAGAGTCCAGTCTTCTCATTACATGGCTAAAGTGTTTAACCATCAGCTTCAGTATTTGCCCTTCCAATGAAAAGCCTTAATTAATTTCTTTTAAGTACTGACTTATTGGATCTCTTTGCTGTCCAAGGGACTTTCAAAAGTCTTCTCCAACACGATTCAAAAATGTGACTCTGTGATGCTCAGTTTTCCTTACAGTCTAACTCTCACAGTCATACATTGCTTTGACTATACAGACCTTTGTTGGCAAGGCAATATCTCTACTTTTTAGTCTGCTGTACAGATTTGCCAGCTTTCCTTTCGAGGAGCAAGTTTCTTTTAATTTCATAGCTACAGTCGCTATCTGCAGTGATCTTTGAGCCCAAAATCTGACATTGCTTCCATCTCTTCTCCCTCTATTTGCCAAGAAATGATAGGGCCAGTTACTATGATCTTAGGTTTTGGGGTTTTTTTTTAATGTTAAGCTTCAAGCCAGCTTTTACACTCTTCTCTTTCACCCTAATCAAGAGGCTTCTGTGGGAGGAAGGAAGAGTGCTCAGGACAGGGCCTTAGGGAACATCTCCAGTTAGTGGGCATAAGCTGGATAAAGATCCAGCAGAAGGGGCTGAGGTGGTACAGACAAAGAGTGAGAGGAATACCAGCAGAGATCAGAGTCATGAAAACACAAAAGTATTTGGAAGAGGGTGACAGTATCAATGGCTATATAGAGGTCAAGGAGGATGAGGATGTAGTAAAAAGTCATTAGATTTGGCAATTAAGTGAACATAGATATTTGGAGAAAGCAGTTTAAATTTAATGATTGAATCTGGAAGCCAAATTATAGAGGGTTTAGAATAATACAGTGGAGAAAAAGTGGAAGCAATAGCTGTAGATGCTTTTCTTGAGAAGTTTAATTGAGAAACAGAGGCAGATATAGGATGATAGCCAGCAGTGATGGCCTAACCAAGAAAAGGCTTTCTAAGGATGGGGGAGACAAGGGCAATAAGGAAGCAGCCAGGAGAGAAGGGATCAGGGTTCTCCTTCCCTGCAGATCTTCAGAGACTCAGGGACCACTTCTGTGGGATGCTGAAAAGCAAATTCTTATTCATATAGGGCTTGGAATAGATAACTTCTAAAGACCCCTGAAGCTCTGAAAACCCAGACCTCTAAGACATAACTTTGTCTCTTTCTCATTACCACTAGATAAAGAAATGTCTAAGTTAAAAAACAGATCCACTAAATAGCTAAAACTAATAAGTAATAACTCTAACATTGTTATTATAATTGTTTATAACACAATAATATATTGTGAATACGTGATTATTATAACATTATTATCTAATTAGCACCTATTCCTCTGATTGCCTTTTAATAAATTCACAAGAAAGTTGTAAAACAGAAGAAATTTAATCATTAGGAATTTTTTTTTTGATGGAACAGAACAAATTTGATTGTTCTAAAAAGCAAAACAAAACAAAACAAAAAAAAAACCTCTGAGCCTAGACAGATTTTTGTTTTTTGGTTAGGCTTGTGACGAGCATGGGTACCTCTTGGTGTGGAAACTCCATTTCAAAGATGCAGACTGGCAATCTGTAAGTTATTAACTTTAGGAAGCTGTGACCTGCACCCAGGTCCTGTTGATTTTAAGGCCAGTCTTCAATCCACCATGCCATGTTGCCTCTTTTAAGCCGAAACTGCTTTAGCTAAAAAGCAATTGAGCAGTTCTTAATCTGTACCCAAATGGTGGCAACAGCCAACCAGATTTTGAAGACCACTGTCCAACTCTATCCAATGTATTACAATGAGTCATACACATACCATAAAAAACTTAGCTACACATAGTTGTTTGATATACTGTATGTAACTTTTGCAGCCAAGATAAACAAATCAATTGACTTTCTCAGAAAAACATTCCCTCCCTGCAGCAGAAATCTGCCATCTTTCTTATGTTGTTGGTAAAAGGACACTCAATATGTAGCAGGAAAGATATATTATTAGTACATTGTAAAAGATATGAAATACAGAAACTAGTCACCGAAAAAAATCCAGACTGTCATTGTTATGTGCGGATTAGTTGAATTATTCTTTGAAGGTGAAATCCCACACCATTTACAAATGGTAAAATTTCTTCTTTTATTTGGAATGGAATTTTTTTGCTATAAGGTATCAAGGGTAGGGAACCTACAGGTTGGAACACATCTTGGCCAGATTTGATTAATCTCAGTAAGGTGTGCGTACGTGTGTGTGTGTACAGATATCCATTATAATTAATGACAATTTGTGTTCCCTGTTCCCAGTTTAACAATTAAATGGCTGAATGTCGATATTTCAAAAACCTACAAAATCAAAGGACTTTTCTAAAGTCAGCCTGGATTGATTTTTATTTTCCTGTGGGCGTGTAGTCTTCATTACTGTATATATCTTTCCTTCTCTACTAAACTATTAGGCTCCATGAAGGCATTAGAACAGAAAGCTAATGTGATCTCAGACTTCATTTAAAGGCTTAATATCCATATTGAGCAATGTAATAGTTCTATGGTACTCTGTTCTGTCTGGATACTACCTGGAGTGTTGTGTTTCAGTATAGGTACCACATAAATTTTAGGACAGATAATTTGTAAGCTGGAGAGCATCCAGAGGAGAGAAGCTAAGGAAAAAGGACCTTGTGATCATGTCATATGAGGATCCTTTCAAAGAACTGGAGATGTTTATCCTAAAGAACAACATAATATCCACCTAAAAATATTGGAGGGCTATCATAGGGATGAGATCAGATTTCTTGGTTTCTGGTCCAGAAGGTAGAGATGGGAAAAATGCACAGAAGTTACAAAGAGGCAAATTTAAGCTTAACGTAAAGAAAAACTTCCTAACAATCAGAGATATCAAAAAGCAGACTAAGTTGCCTTGGGAGTTAGTAGGTTTTCTTTCCATTGCAGTTTTCAGGCAAAGACAAGATGATCACTTGTCAGGTATATGGCAGACAGGATTTTGTTCAGTTATGAACTGAACTAGAATAGATGGGATCTGAAGGCCCTTCCAAGTCTAAGATTTTGTGATCTCTGATTTATCTTTGTATTTCCCTCAGTGCCTAGCATGAATGTCTTGCACACAATAGGATCAGTGCCTGTTGAATGAACAAATGTGGATGATAACATGTAAAATTTTGCAAAACTCCCCCAAAATTCCCATTGCCCTATAACTTCTCATGGAGGTAGAAAGTATCCAAGCATACAATAGGAGAAAGGAAGTAAGCAGTCCATCACAAGACAAGAAGAAGCCTCAATCATTGTTGGTAAGGCAAATGAATCCCAATTCTGGTGCTCCGGGATAGAAAGAAGTGAAAGACATTTAAAATTGGCGAGTTTAGATGGGTTATGCCTTCAGACTTATTTGTGGGGTGTGTGAAGGAAAGGACTGACAATCTTGGATCCTTAAAGTTGGAAGCTTTTAGACCTTTGGCCAATGTATCCCAAACTCCCACAGGTACTATCTATTGTCTCCTTCCTGTATGTCTTCTGTCTTTGTATGAATATTTTACCAGGATCTTATTGGATCCAAATCCCCATACAAAGACATTAAGAGGCAGCCTATTATACCATTGAAAATTTTCCCAAAGGCACACCTATTTTAATCTTGGGTGTTTCCTCTTTTTTGGTGGAAAGTGACTAAGTATGTGAGTGAGTGAGTGTGAGTGTGAATGTGTGTGTGAGTGTGTGTGTGTGTGTGTGTGTGTGTGTGTGTGTGTGTGTGTATGTAAGAGAGATTTACTGGGTCTGATCTGCTAAAAAGTTCGAATGTCAAAGTCAAAATATCCGGAATTCACAAGACATTTTTGGATAAGATATGTACCTAGGTCTGGTGCAGAATATGGAAGAATCTTGGTATTCAAATGGTATCCTGCCTGCCACCAGTCTGCAGGTTAGGAACTGTTAAGGCACTTCACCCCTAAGCCCCTCAACTTTCCCAATGAACACTTCTCTACCCAATGTTAAACAAATAAAAAAGAAAGTAAGTGAATCCAAAATACATGGCTAAGTGTATCCATCCCTAAAAAGTGCTCTGACAATATCCAGAAAGGCTTTTCTCAGGATTTTACAACAATTTGGGCTTATAGTTAAACCGGAGGCTGGAGTAGAGCCCAATGTGTCTTACTAGGTTAGGCTCTACCACATAGGCCCTCTCATTCTTGTCCTGTAGAAATGAGTAGAGTGCCATGTCCTTGGCAAAGCCACCGCGGCAGGATATCTCAGCGAGATAGCTCACCGTCCTCTGGGCCGAAGAGGCAGGGAAAAGCATGGCAGGAGTGCAGCACTGCGTAGTGGGGACCACGTTGTAGAGGGCAGGGGCCAGTCGCCGAAGCTCCAGCAGGTAGTGACGGCCCACCAGCTCTGCCAGCCCCATGCTGTACAAGGAGAAGAAGACAACAATGCGGTAGTTCAGCCCTGGGAGGTTGGCAATCTTGACATATGCCCAACCGAGCAAGGGGCCCAGGAACATCCCCACACCAAACCACTCCAGAATCCTCATGGGCTCTGGGTTGAAGTAGCACTGGAGTCTCTCGGGATGATAAAGCTTCAGGTAAAGGGCATCTTTGAGGTGTGGCTCCGACAATCTAGTTTCCAGAAGGTGCCTTAAGACACTAAAGATCTGCTCTTCAGGAATGGCATCATCTTCCACCATCAGGACGTATTCTGGGTTGTAGTTCTGCAGAGATTTCTCCAGGCAATAAGCATAGTCCTGCTTCTCTTTCTCAAATGTACTCGTGAGGACACTCCTGCTAATGTTCACCCTTTTGGTGCCTGCAAATCGGCTGGTCACGGGGATAAAATTGGCCAGCAGCTTGGCATCCTGGTGTCTGGAGTTCCAATCCACATCACACAAAAAGAGTTGGTGACTCTGGCATGGGTGACCACACTGCTGAAGGAGGCGATGGAACTGAGATGCCACCTGTAAGACATAGTGGAACTCAGGCTGTCGGGACACTGTGACGATGGTGATCAAAAGCCAAGGCCGTGAGGGGACCTGCCTACCTTTGGGCAGGGTGACATCGAGGGCCTGGAGGTTCTTAAAGTAGTGGAGTGCAGCCTCACCCGCCTTCAAGCTCTGCTTCAAGAACTCCTCACTCATCTGGTTCAGGTGCCAGTGGCGCACATAGAAGTAGGAGTGGAGGAGGCGGTGGCAGGTCAGAGGGGCCAAAATGCCAAATGTTACTATCGTCAAGAAAAAGAAATGGAGAGCTGGGCTGGACCAGGACAGCAGCCGCGGCTTACGGAAAAGCATCATGGCAGAAGGAGCGGCTGCTCTGGTTTAGTCACATTTCTGCTGTTTCCGGTCCCAGAAGCATCTTATCACGCAAAAGAGGTCATCACACCTAAAGAGGGAAAAAGTAGAGAATGGCAGAATAAGGTCAAAAAGTAGCAGGCCTTTAAGAAAACTGCAGACTAAACTCAGAACATACCATTATATAAGGAAGGGAATGTCAGCCTAAATTTGAAGTTGGGTGGTTACCACTCTTTAGTATGTGGAAAGCTATAACTTGAGTAAGTACATGATTAAACTGGGAATAAATTGCTACATGAAAATAATCCAGCTTTGCTAAACAGCAAAGAGCGGTGTGGGGTGGGGAGGATGGCTTCAGAAGGAAACAAATTAATCCAGATGAAAGATATGATGCTATGGGCCAGAATTTTAACAGAAATGGAAAACAAAACCATCAGCACTAATACAGTATTTCTTTAATCAACACTGGTACCAGCTGAAATTTTACAGGCTGGAAAAAATGTAGTAGTCATTAGCCTTACGTGCTGAGGAAATTATGGAAGAGTTTTCACTTGGGTCAGTTTGGTGACTCCCAGTCGACCCCAAATCTTAAGGTCCTACAAGGAGAATCATATGTATTCTGGGTAAGTGTAGGGATCATGCCTCCCTTCTGAGACAGGAAGTTGGATTTTCCTTGTCTTTTTCTTCTTACAGTTGTCCCTTCCACATCACGGGGATTAGGAATGCGGCACCCCAGCAATCTGGAAAATCTGTGTAAAATTTTTTGGCCCTTCCCTCATACCAGAGAAGAAGTCTGAATTTTTTCTTTTATGGGTACCTTATTGTAAAATTTGGGTTAAGTATTTGGTCATAGGCTCTGTGTCATCTGTTGGCCTTTGTGTGTTGTCTGAGGCTTTCACAAAACTCCCCCAAAATTCCCATTTATTTTCTTATGCCGACCCGCTATATATCAAAACTGCTATGAGAAAAGCCGTGATATGAAAGGGATAACTGTACTGTCTTTGGGTGGGGAATGATAGTTCCAAGCCCTAAGACAGGTCCTTGTTAAGTACTAAGCATGCAATACTTCTGATAAACTACAAAATGCTTTTATTTGCTAAACCTGCAAAACACTATACATGGGTCAATTATGATTTCTAGCTGTATAAGAATATCTGCACCACATTGATCGTTTGAAATTCTTTTCCTATATGGCACTATGGAAACAAGTGTAAGGACTACACTTCTGCCTCCCTGGGACCCCAGGTATCATTCTGGCTTGGAGATATGGACAATGAACTTCAAAATGTAACCTAGCTGATTTATTGGGGATAGAAAAATTTAAGTTTGAAGAGATGTGAGGAGGACGGTGTAACAGCAGATCTGGCCAATGAGGGCTCCATCTTTAGAACATGCACTATGCAGGAATCATAGATTCTAGTGTCTCCCAAAACAATGAGGAAAAACATTAGAAGACTTACATAAGCTGATACGGAGTGCAGTTGGTAAAACCAGAACAAATTATTCAATGACTACAAAATACAAAGAAAACAGCTAATAAAAGGCAGTTGAATTCAGGTTACTTGTAATGATAAATATCATACCTAGGAACTGGTGAGGAAATATATCTTCCTTTTTTTCAATAGAGAAGTGGGAGACCACAGATGTGGAATACAACATATGCTGTCAGATACAGTCACTGTTATCAGCTGATTTGGCTTAAATATTTTTCTTTGTTACACGGAAACATTTAAGGCAAGGAAAGGAACTTTAAGGAGGAATGACTACATTTATTAGAAAAATTTTAAAGAAAAAATTTTAAAAGAATAAAAATAACACACAGAAGCTTCACTTCAAGCAAGTAATTTAGTCACCTTCCCTTTCATATTCTTTAGATATGAAATGGAATGGGATCTGCCCCCAGTCATTTACATAAGCAGTTTAGAACATGAGATATAAACTCTGAATTTGGCTGGAACAAAAGTGGTACTGCTAAGTAAACGTAAGCACAAGGAGTACACCTGTCATGTCACTGGTATAGGGAACTCTCAGGGGAGGAAACACCCTTTAGTGATACAGGTTGGAATATTCCATAATTTATAATTTTAAGAGTTACCTAGAGGTTAAATGACAAGCTCATAATTCTGGGAGACTAGAATGGTAGAATAAGCTCAGACTACCAGACATGGCAGAGAGTTCTTGGGAGGAATGGAGTTGGAAAGAGCAACAGCAATGGTCACTTATTACTGAAGACTTGTGCATCTCATGATCTTCTCATCACCAACTATGTCTTCCATTTACCTAAACGCAATAAAACGTCATTCGAATTTAGGGTTGGTGCATGATTTTCTGTTTGCAGATATTATGCACTCAATGCAGCCTCTTAAGCTGAGATGCAACAAAGTATGGACCGATTCTCTGCTGCTTATGCTAATTCTGGCCTAACAATTAACACCAAGAAAACAGGTGCTCTATCAGCCACCACCATACCATCCAAACGTGGAACCATCAGTTATAGCAAATGGAGAAGTTCTGAATGCTGTGGATAACTTACCCTGGTAGTGTACTGTCCACGAATGTACACATTGATAATGAGGTTGATGCATGCATTGCCAGAGCTAACTCAGTGTTTGAGAGGATCCAAAGTGTGGGAGAGAAGAGGTATTAGACTGACCACCAAGCTGGAAGAGCTTTTGGGCTGACCTCATTGTTATATACCTGTGAGATCTGGACAGTCTACCAGCACCATGCCAGGAAACTGAGTAGCTTCCATTTGAATGGTCTTAGGAAGATTCTGAAGATCACCTGGCAGGATAAGATACCAGATACTGAGGTCCTTTCTTGAACTAAACTGCCAAGCATTCACACCCTGCTTCTGGGTCCCTTCAAGATCAAATGGACTTTGAAAATAACAATGGTATAGAGAAAGAATGGCCTTGTGGCTGTGGGCCTGCAGGGACCCAGGTACTCCACTTCCCAGGAGGGATCCCTGCCTTGCTGAAGAACACAACTGCAGGGCAGAACACGAATCCCAAAGCTAAGAACTCATCTGCTGACAAAGTCCAATGGTAATTGATCTCTAAACCAGGGCTTCTCCAACTTTTTAGTTTTGAGACCCTTTAACACTCTTAAAATTACTGAGGATCCCAAAAAGCCTTTGTTTATGTGGGAGATACATATACACATACACATTCATGTGTATATACACACATATTTATGCGTGTGTGTGTGTGTCTATATATATATATATATATATATGTATATAGACACACACACACACACTTTACGGTAAATGTATACAGATATATTTACCACAATATAAATTAAAACACAGAACTACTATGAAAATAGTTTTGACTTTACAGACCCCCTAAAAGTCTCTGGGGCCTCTAGGGGGACCTGGACCACATTTTGAGTACCTCTGTTCTAAGGTACTGACAGATGGAAATGGACTGCTCTGGTGAAAGAAATTAGACACAGCAGATTGTGTTTTTGAAACGCAGTGAGACAGCTTGAAGACAGTCACCTATTTGTGTCTAATGATGGCCATCTATAGTGCTGTGAGGGAATAAAAGAAAAGAAATCTACATGATAACTGTGTTGTATATTTAAAAGGAATTGCAAGCTGTACATAGTAGATTTGCAGTTTCATGTGCAATCACCTTTTTTATTATACTGTTACAGAAATGCCTGTTTTATTCAATAAATTAAAAATGAAATAATTTTAAAAAAAATAGGGAATCTATCTTATTTAATTTCTGCATCTCTCCCAACATCTATCACAGTGGTGATAATACAAGTATAAATAAAATGCTATGTTGGGTGTGAGGCATGAAAGATTGTTTTCTACTACAAGGGTCATAAAAGAATTAATGAAAAAGGCTTTGAACTGGATTTTAAAGGAAGGATTCAGTTTCAACAGATGGAGATGGGGGTGGGGTGTTCGATGGGTGTGAGCATATTGGCATTCAATAAAATGTCACTGAAGTCGCTGAACATATCAATTTAAAAAAAAAAATCAATAAAAAAACTCCACATTGCATTTATTTCAGCTGTTCACTTTCTTACAATTTTTTCTCCATCCAAAGATACCTTTGGGTCTATTTCAGGATAATCAACCCAGAGGGGCAGAAAAACTAATTTTTCTTTTAATAAAACCTATGAACCCAAGCATTTGCTGCAATTCCAATTCGTGCACTTTTACTACAGTTGAACTACACTATTACTTACTACTATTAGCAACTCCCCAATCCCATCCTGTACTCGCCCACCTCCAACTAAGTCATTCTCTTTGTCTGGAACAGATTCCCTTCATGTTCTCTCATGTTCTCTTTTGAAATCTCTCTTTTGCTGTTTTCCCACTCTTTATAGAGATATATCCTACACATACATATAGACAGAGAAACACACACACACACACATGGGACACCCCACCCCCATCTCCATCTGTTGAAACCCAATCCTTCTTTTAAAACTCAACTCAGAGCCTTCTGTATTAACTCTTATACAAGCCTTCTAGTTGGAAACAACCCTTCCTAATAGGTTAGGTACTCAAGACACAACTGTCTATGACTATAGTAATCTACTATTTGATAAATCCAAAGACTCTGGCTTCTGGGATAAGAATTCACTATTTAACAAAAACTGCTGGGAAAACTGGAAAATAGTGCGGCAGAAACTAAGCAGAGACCAACATCTTACACCCTATACGAGGATAAAGTCAAAATGAGTACAGGATTTAGATATAAAGACTGATATTATAAGCAAACTAAGTGAGCAAGGAATAGTATACCTGTCAGATCCATGGCGAAGGGAAGAATTTATGACCAAACGAGATAGAGAATATTACGAAATGCAAAATGGATGATTTTGATTACATTAAATTGAAAAGTTTTTGCACAAAGCCAATGCAACCAAGATTAGGGGAAGCAGAAATCTGGGAAATAATTTTCATAGCCAATGTCTCTGACAAAGTTTTCATTGCTAAAATATATAGAGAACCGAGTTGAATTTATAAGAATACAAGTCATTCCCCAATTGATAAATGGTCAAAGGATATGAACAGGCAGTTTTCAGAGGAAGAAATTAAAGCAATCTATAGTCATATAAAAAAATGCTCTAAATCATTATTGATTAGAGAAATGCAAATCAAAATGACTCTGAGGTACCACATCACACCTATCAGATTGGCTAACATGGCAACACAGGAAAATGATCAATGTTGGAGAAGATGTGGGAAAATTGGAACACTAATGCATTGTTGGTGGAGTTGTGAAATGATCCAATCATTCCATAGAGCAATTTGGAACTATGCCCAAAGGGCTACAAAATTGTGCATGCCCTCTGACCCAGCAATACCACTTCTAGGGCTATATCCCAAAGACATCATAAAAACGGGAAAAGGACCCTCATGTACAAAATACTTATAGCAGCTCTTTTTGTGGTGGCCAAGAATTGGAAATTGAGGAAGTGCCCACCAATTGGAGAATGGCTGAACAAGTTGTGGTATATGAATGTAATGGAATACTACTGTGCTATAAGAAATGATGAGCAGGCAGACTTCAGAAAAACCTGGAATGAGTTAAATGAATTGATGCTGAGTGAAATGAGCAGAACCAGGAGAACATTGTACACATTGTGCTATGACTGACTTTGATAGACTTAGGCCTTCTCAGCAATGCAAGGATCTAAGACAACTCCAAAAGACTCATGATGGAAAATGCTATCTATATCCAGAGAAAGAACTTTGGAATCTGATTGCAGATGGAAGCACACTATTTGCTCTCCTTTTCTTTTGATTCTTCTTTCTTGTGGTTCCTCCCATTAGTTCTAATTCTTCTTTACATCATGACTAATGTGAAAATATGCTTAATATGAATGCAAAAGTAGAGCCTATGACTTCAGAAAAACCTGGAAAGACTTGTATGGTCTGATGCTGAGTGAAATGAGCAGAACCAGAAGAATGTTGTACACAGTAACAGTCACATTGTGTGATAACTAATATTGATAGACTTAACCTTTCTCAGCAATACAAGGATCTAAGACATCTCCAAAAGTCTCATGATGGGAAATGCTATCCATATCCAAAGAGAGAACTATGGAGTTTGAATATAGATCGAAGCATACTATTTGCTATTTTTTTCTTCTGCTGTGTTTTGTTTCCTCTTTCTGGTGGTTCCTCCTATTGGTTCTAATTCTTACCTACAACATCACTAATGTGAAAACACGTTTAATAGGAATATATATGTATAGACTATATAAGATTGCGAACAGTCTTGGGGAAGGATGTGGGGAGGGAGGGGGAGAAAAATTTAAAACTCAAAAACTTATGGAAGTGATTGTTGATAATTCAAAATAAATTAATTAATTATAAAAAAAAAAGGAAAAAATCCCTTCCTGCCTCACAGCCAACACCAAATGTTTTTTGGCCTTGTCTACAATAATCATACTCTAATTTGAATTAATGTGTTTATATGTCACATATAAACTTATAGCTCTACTTACAGTAGCGCTAGGTTATAAATTCTATGAAGTCAGGCAATTGGTCAACAGGTATATTTATGAAGCACTTACTATGTGCCAGCTATTGCGCTAAGAACTGGAGAGACTAAGAAATACAAAAATGTGGTCCCCACCCTCAAGAAGCTTCACATTCTAATGAGGGAGAGAACATGCAAATAAGATATAATATATAGTGTAAATAGAACATAGTCTCAGAGGAAGGAACCAGCAGTGGGGGGCACTGAGAAAGGCCTTTTGCAGAAGATGAGATCTGAGCTGAGTCTTGAAGAAAGCCAAGAGGGAGAGGCGGGGCATGGGGAAAGAAAGATACAGTGTTCCAGGCAATGGACAGTGGGTTCCATAGCACAGTGTCAGGGGTATCATGTGTGATGAATAGCAAGAATGCCATTGTTTTTGGATCACAGAGTATGTGGAGGAGAGTCAAGTGTGAACAGACTGGAAAGAAAGATAGTAAGGGGTCAGGTGACAAAGGGTTCTGAATGCCAAACAGAGCATTTCACATCTGATCCTGAAAGAGTCAGTGAAGTTTTCTGAATAGGGTGTGACACAGTAATACCTGAACTTAAGGACAGTCATGTTGGCGGCTGAGTTGAGGATGGATTGGAGTAGGGAGAGACTTGAGGGGGGCAGACCGATTAGCCTAGTGCAATAGACCAAGTGTGAGAGGATGAGGGCCTTCACCAAGGTAGTGACCGTTTGAGAGAAAGTAATGTATACAAGAGAAGCCGTGGATGCAGACTGGCTACGTGGGGAGAGTGTCAGTGAGAAGTTGAGGACAACATCAAGCTTGCCCCAGCAGGGCATGAGAGGTACACGGGAAGAGTGCACAATCATAATCTATGCAAAGCATTTTGCAAACTTTAAAACACGTACATAAATGTCAAATTATTATTATTATTATTACACCTATATTGGGATGACTGTCACTCAGTGATCGACAGAAGGGCCAGATACATCCTTGGGGAGGTCTGGGCCTTGGGTGAGATGATGTTGAGGCCCCATGAGAAGGGATGGTCCTGCAGGAAGCACCATCGTCCTGCCGTGGCTCTTAGACACCCCTCCATTTCTCTGGAGTGGGGCCATCTCACACAACATGGCCATGCCTCAATGCAGAAAAGGGCTGACCAGAGCTGACCAGGCTTTTTATAGGCAGGGTCTTGCTCAGGCCCTCTAATTGGCTTCCAAACTCCAATGCGAGAGGCAGGAAGGTGCCAACTAGCTAGGAAGCTCTTTTCATAATAACAAAGGCATTTATTGCACTTTTATAAAAAGGCCAGTTGTGGCAGCTCTATGTTATACAAGCATAGACACTGCAGCTATGATTCAATGGTATAGGGAACTCCTCTACTAAGGCAGGTCAGCACATTCTCTCTTACTTCTAGTGTAGAGCACTGAGAGGTAAAGTGACTTACCAGGGTCACAAAGACAGTATGTCAGAAGTAGTACTTGAACTCATGTCTTATTGGCTTCAAGGCCTATTCTCCATCCACTACTCCATGCTGTTACTCTTTTGGTTCTGTTTCATATTGACAGGAAACTTCTGCCTCCCTTTAAGTCCCACCCACCGGTTCTAATTCTGTTCTACAACAGTGGTCAAGTAGGGCGTGCATACCTTCCAGTATATCAAAGACCATCCACTGGGGCATGCAAAGAAAATATCAGAACTGAGGATAGCAGCACAGTTATTCAACTGATCAATTGACATTTATTAAGAGCCTGTTATATGCCACACACTGTGCTACGGGCTGGATTCAGCATGCTTGGAGCTGCTGCCTCCCCGCCTCTCTCTCTGCCTGCACCCAGGGCAGGCTGGGCTGAGATAGACAGTCAGCCAAGCACACCTTTCTCCAGGCAGAGAGTTAATCACTCGCGCCCAACCTGGCCTTGAGGCTCTCCCCACCCTCCCCATTCCCAGGAGCAACAGCACATACCTTGTTTGTCCCCTTTAATGAGATCCTGGCTGCCTGCCTGGGATCTTCTCTTCCTCCACCCTTGGGAGAACAAAGGAGGCTCAAGCAGGGCCTGGGAAAAGCCACAGCCAGGACTGCAGGAGAAGCACAGGCATAGCAGTGTGAGTAAACAGCAGCTGTGACTGCTAATAGGCTTCAGGATCAAATAACTGAGCACAGAACCCTGATCTGCAGCTCTCCTCCAAGAAAGCCCCAACCACACACCCCTGGATCACTTGGAAACAAATGGAGGACACCCTGTTGTTCAGTTGTGTCCTATGCTTCATGACCCAATGGACCACAGCACAACAATGCTGTCCATGGTATTTTCTTGGTAAAGATACTAGAGTGGTTTGCCATTTTCTTCTCCAGTGGAGTAAGGCAAACAGAGGTTAAATGACTTGACTAGGGTCACACAGTTAGTATCTAAGGCTGAATTTGAACTAAGGTCTTTGTGGGAGCGAGGTAAAGGTTAAATTTCCACAGAGAAAGAGAATAATGCAGAGACTTAAAGAACAATTCCAGGTAGTAGTACACTGTAGGTAAGGGAAGGCTCCAAAAAGACTCCAAATTCGAGATAAGGGTTGAGCCAGCTCAGACCAGTTAGGGTCAACCCGAGGACACCTGAAAAATGTTAGTGCACCTGCTTAATGAACTTCATTACTATTATCTGACACACCCCGAGCCTCATTAATGAGTCATGGGATGTATGACCAAGGGAGGGGGAACATACTTAAGCATATCAAGGGGAAACATGTAAGGAGGGGTGTAACCCACGAAGGGATGGGCCAATCCAGGCCTGGGAGGTTTTGCGCCGAATTTGAATGTATAAAAGCATGCTTGCCCTTGCACTCAGGGCCCATCCCTCCTGAAGAGGGGTGGAGCCCGCTTCTGGCCAGAAATGTCTAAATCCTCTGGATTTTCTCTGTAATAAACTTTCTTGATACTAAATTTTAGGTGTCAAGCGTATTTCTAACAGTCTTCCTGAGTCCAGGCCCAGCGTTCTAACCACTGAGCCATCTAGCTGCCCCTTCATCTAGATGAAGGATATCTACCATCAGAAAACAGGGCCTACCCGAGTATCTTACTATCTGTCCTGCCACTGCCCCTGCCCTCCATACGTAAATCAACCACCCTCTAGATCTGGGACTTGACCTCCAAATACCATGTCTCTCCTCCCTGACAATGGGGATGATGGAAAGTCGCTAACCCAATTCCAATAAAAGTCTTTGCATAAATAGTTGATGGGATAGAAAAACGAGTATTATGATTTATTAAGTAAGTGGAGCCAATAAGGCGCTTCTTCTGTTTGGTTCTCTATCCCTATGAGGCATCTTTTCCAGCTATGACAATCATAAAAACCAAGTATTGAAAAAAAACTGACTTAAAGCCAGACCATCAGATCTGTGTATCACAAAGTGTTAAACCAAGATTTCCAAAAATAATGAAGCATATTCAGTTGCACTGATCTCACAAAATATTTTTTTTACTGAGAACAAAAAGGTTTTTTGTACTAGTAATAAAAATGGTTCCATTTTCATTTCCTTTAAAATGTTTATTTTTGTATATGCTTCATAATATGTATAATATGTTAGTCATCAGTACATGTATGTAATTTATAAACTGGAGATGCTCAATTTTTTTTTTTTCCACTGAGGGGGTGGTATGATCAAAAAAAGTCTGGAGACACCATTTTACAAGCCAGATCTTCAAACACTTAAAAGCAAATAAGAGTTTTTCTCCAAGTCTCTTATTACTTTCACTTTTAAAAACCAAGGACCTGAGACAGAACAAGGTTAAGCATCTACACATTTATCTCACAGTCAGTAAGACTAGCCCCCAGCTCTCTGGACCCCAGTTCTAGACCCTACACCTCAGTTCTCCAGACTTCATCCCCCAGAATATACTAATATACATATTCTATGGATCATTAAAATTGTTCCTTATCACCCTATGGTGCATTGAACCAAATTCAACATGAGTCTGAACAATAAAATCTACATATCTTCTCCTGGAATGGACTGCTCTGCAAAGGAACCAACAAGCCTCTAAAATCTGAGAGCTTCTCAGCCTCTGTAATTTGTAGGGGAGCATCACAGCCATTGAGAGCAGTGCTGTCAAACTCAAATAGAAACAGATCCCTGCCAGCCACATATTGACTTAGAAAACCACAAATTAACATAACCTATGGTTTTCTGGTTTTGTTTTTTTGTTTTTTGCTAGGCAATGAGGTTTAGTGAGTTGGCCAGGGTCACACAGCTTGTAAGTGTCAAGCATCTGAGGTTGAATTTGAACTCAAGTCCTCCTGACTCCAGGGCTGGTGCTCTATTCACTGTGCCACCTAGCTGCCCCAATATTACCTATGTCGTACTATATTTTTATTTATTAAACATTCCCCAGTTATACTTTAATCTGGTTCACTTGAAGCCAGTGGGCTCTGTGTTGTAACATACCTTTGATAGCAAAACTAAGAGTAACGGGTGGAAACTACTAAGAGGAGAATCTAGATTTACCAAAGGGAAGACTTTCCATCAGTGGTGCTAACCAGTGAATTCGCTGGTATAGGAAAATTTCTCTACCAATGTGGAACAGAAATTGTTCCTCAGTTTACCTCTTAAAGAGTTGTCTAAGGCAGTGTTTCTTAAACTGTGGGTTGTGACCTCATGAGGTTGCCATGAGGTACACAAGGTCACCCAACCAGAAGGTGTCAGAGGCTAGACTTAAACCTAGGTGTTCCTGACTCTGAGGCTGGCTTTCTATCCACAACACAGGGCAACTCACTAATGATTAAGCTAGCTAAAAGTAGAGTAGGAGGTCATCAGTTAAAGGCTAGATGACCACTTCTCAGGCATGCTCTGGAAGGGACTTTTGCTTAGAGGTAATTGAACTAGATGGAAAAGGAAGGAATAAGCATGTGTGGGTATAAATAAATATATGAGCTCCTTCCTCATATGTTATAGTCATCCCTTGACATTCTCAGGTTTCACATTTACAGTTTTGGTTATTCTCAGGCTGGCCATCAATACATAAATGAAAATTTTTGGAGATCTGCCACATACTGCAGAAAATTGCAGATGACACACATTTGTAAAGAAAACTTTTAAAAAATTTAGTAAGTCACAAATGCATAAATACTATATGCTATTAATGTTTTTTAATCATTTACTACCATAAGTATCCATACATAAATTAACAATTAAATTTTGTTCAAGTTTCAGTGTGCTGAAGAACTACAGGCTACTTAGTCTCTTTGGAAACGCCACCTCTTTGTTTCTCTACCATCCAGACTCAGTCATGTGATTTTCTCCCATAGTGATCTTTGCATCTTGCTGGTAGAAGGAAATCTGTGAAGCAGTTGCTGCAGCTCCATGCTAATCTCTCATGTAGAAACTGCAACTTTTTTTATGGCTGCAGTGTGTTTTACTTGTTTTTTTTAAAATGTGTTAAATAAATATGATCAGAATTATTAAAAATAAAAGTTTGGGGTGAGCTGGAGTTATTTACAGTTTTTCACATTCTCAGGGGTTCTGGGCCCTTAACCTCTGTGAATGTTGAGGGATGACTGTGTCTGTGTGTCACACATATATATACATATATATTACATATATGTATACAAACACATTGCCTACTATGTGCTAGGAGGTTTACAACTATTACTTTATTTGATCCTCACAACAAGCTGGGAAGTAGGTGCTATTATTATCCCCATTTTACAGGTGAGGAAACTGAGGCAAACATGTTAATTGATTGCCCCGGGGTCACACAGCTAATAAGTATCTAAGGCCACATTTGAACTCAGGTCTTCTTGATTCCAGGACCAGCAATCTATTCATTGCACCGCCAGCCACCTCAGTTACCTTGGCTACATAGCCTGTGATATCTCCTGTGAGTCTGGGATTTTACCTTTCTAACTGGTCTCCCTTCCAAGTCTCTCCCCACAGATGCCAAAGTTTTCCTTAAATCCAGATCTGACCACATCACTCTTCTACTCAACAAACCACAGTGACTTTCTATTGGCTCACAAACAAAATATAAACTCCTCAATTTAGCTCTTGAAGTTGGAACACTCTGGCTTCCATTTAGCATTCTATGCTAATACAAGAACAACTGTTGAGGTAATCTGCAGTTGGGGTTTTCTCTCTTAATCTGTGAGGACACATGTATTACTAGAACTCTCTCAGGAAACTCCCTGTCACTGAGATTTATAGCTCTCTGGACAACTAGTTGTCTTGTTTTAAGAACTCATGTTATTAGGGAAGGAAAAAAAAATAAAAACTATTTTCTTTGGAACATTCCACATGATCATGCAGCATGGATGAATCACTGGACACAAATTCAGTGCAGAACTGTTACTGATGGAGAATTCAGAACTATATGAATTATTATATAGAAGACTTTTTTTAAAATCACAAGATTTAATAAAGGGACTGGAATTCCATTCTCTTGTATTTTGGGGGAAAGTAGAAGTGGACAAAAAGATTTCAACCAGACAAAAAAGTTTCAGCCTAAACCAGAAGTCTAAACAAAACTAATTGAGAAAACATGAAAGGTTTTTTGTTTTATTTTTCTTTGAGGAAAATGCTAGTTTTAGCCAAAAAGTTTATATATTTACCTGATTAATTCTCTTGGGCACAGCATATTGATGATATGAAGGGAACTGGACTCATGACTGCTAAAGCTGCCTACCAGTCCAGATGAAAGTTATTTGTCCTGTCAGAAAAACAGAGATTTAAAACATATACCATCAATCTTGGTGACATTATATTTTTTAGATAATGGATCCTGAGAGTCATTTGGTCTCCAAAATTGTTCATATCTACATTAGGGGAATTATTCATTGAGCATAGGAACCATTCCCTTCTCGCTCTAATCCCTGTATAATGCACCTCTTTCATAAAACACCTGTTGAACACTGGCATTTATTCTTAGGACTACTTTAAGTACAGCCCAAAGCCAAACTTTTCCTTCAGTTATTTTAAACTTTATTTTCCTCTTATGTTTCTGTATTTCATGTCAGGATATCTTACAAAGGAAGTTACCTTTCTCGGTTCATCTGTGATTTAATATACTAAGTAGTTGTGAGCTTTGTTTCAGCTGAGGCTTCATTACTTAATGTACAGGTCAAATTTTTAATTATTTTAAGTTTTACTTACTCTAATTTTAAAATTTGTGCCCCTACCCTGAATCCTTGGCTTCCACCATTAAATATATTCAATAAGCTAAAAAACATCCAGAAGAGAGTGGTCAGGAATGGGGAAGATTACAAATTCATGCCACATGAGAAATGGTTGAATGGAACTCAAGATATTTGACTTGGAGAAAAGAATATTAAGGGCATATCTGATCATTGCTTTCAAATATTTAAAAGCTATCATATGGAGGAGGGATCAGACTTATTCTGCTTAGCCTTGGAGAGCAGAACAAGGAACAATGGGCAAAATCTGCAAATAGATACATTCAGGCTTAACAGGCAGAACTTTAATGATTAGAGCCACCTAAGAATGGGGCTACCATAGGAAGTAGGTCTACCACTCACTGGAAGATCTTTAAGCAAGGGGTCACACCCCCCTTGTCTGGTATACAAACAAGGGATTCTTGATCAAGTACGAGTTGGGCTAGATGGCCTCTGAGGTCTCAGATTCTGTAATTGCTGATCAAAAATATTGAAATAAAGACACTAAGACATCACCTCAAGAAGACAAAGAACCACTGCACAATTGATTTGAGTATTTATTAAGCACCTACTATATGCAGGCTCTGAGCTAGGCACAGAAGATAAAAGTACAAATAACGAAACAATCCCTAACCTGCAAGGAGCTGTGATACAATACTCGTGAGAAGATTTTTTTCCCTATTATTCTATACTCCATTTCTTAAGATTGTTAACATGTTTGAAATTCTGGCTTTATTGAATTTTATTAATCAAATATGAATGCACAAAGATAATCAAGTTGTATCAAAGACAAACCACTGTAAACTGTACACCCTGTGATGTTTCTGCGATGATATTCAATAAATCTTGTTATGATCAATATTAGAAGACTACACAGTCCAATCTTTGCTATAAGCTGTCTTGAATATCAGACAACATTTCTGATTATCTATAAAGGAGAAAAAAAATCAGTTAAGTATGATAAGTTTAGGACTTTTCTGTCCCAGAGAGTCATAATTAATACAATATAAGCAAACCCTGACATACTCATGATTCAGTCACTCACCCATTTATAATTTGAAAGAAAATTAGTTTCATTAAGTTTAGCAAAAGTCTGTCACAGACTGTTTTGAGGCCTGTGAAACGATGACAGGTGCAATCCATTTCAAAGCATCTGGCTTGTGGTTTCTGTTACTCTTGCTTACGATATGTTTAAGGATATGTTTTATTTCTGAGGATTTTGGAATAGCAAGTGCTATCCTTCCTCACTCTAGGGAGTTTAAGTGAATTGATATTGTTTGTTATACAATACTTGCTTCAATATACATTTATACTTAGCTATAATAGCTAACATACAGCCCTTTAAAAGTTGCAAAGTACATTACATATATTTCTCACCAGATCCCTGCAAGAGCCTTGTGACATAGGTACTACTGTTATCCCCATTTTACAAATAAAGAAACTGAGGCTGAGAGAGGTTAAATGACTTACACAACTATTAAGAGTTTGAGGCAGAATTTGAATATAGGTCTTTCTGACTCCTGTCTCCTAGCTTTTCTTCCTTTGATGGGATGTGCATTAGGAGGTTATTTCATCTCTCCAAGGGAAAAAGAGAAGTCAACCCAAAATCCACCCAATTATACTTGCCAGATAAACTCTGGGAAGATACAGATTGGCTAGTATTGCGTGTTAACTGTTCTCTCTTTTGCTTTCATTCCAAAAAACCAATTGAAAAGGTTTCCCCTCTTTTCACAATAACTTCATAGATAAATGTCTCTCTGGGTCTAAATGGCCTCATAGCAGCTCGCATCATTGATAAGACCTTCTATACCCTGCCTAGTTAGCTAACCCTTTAGCAAAATGGGGAACATTTCACTCTCATACTTTTGATCACCTCAACCAATTACTGTTCTCAGATCACAAAGTGTAGATAATGTTGTATTCCCCACCAATCACCATCGTGGAATCTCTAAAAGGGTGCTAATGATGGGGTGCTTGGGTGCTTGTGCTTGTACTTGGACCCCAATTTCTCCCTAGCCTCAGAAACACTGCCTCTGACAACCACTCCCCAGCCCAAAGACACTGTGCCTAGCAATTGCTCATGCATGGGCCCCAGCACGACCCTTATCCCTCTCCCTGGTGCAGCTACACAAAGTTGGGTGAGAGAGTGCTGGGCTGCTCAGGCCCCAGCCCTCAGATCATGTCTCTGGAAGCCTCCCAATTCCTTAGTAAGTTCCTGTCTTGTGAGAAAGCTTTCCCTTGCTGCAGAGCATTCTCTCATCAAGACAGAGGGAGAGGGGTGATTTGCCCAGCCCAAGGAGTTTTGTCCTTGGCTGGCCCAAGGACTCTTCCTCCTGCCAGACTCCCAAGATCCATACCTCTGCCATCTCCCTCCCTGTCCGGTATACTCCCTGTACTATCTCATCCATAGCTCCCAAAGACACCTGGACCTTTAAATTACCTCATCAGTGTCCCTGGCATTCCTTTCCCATGCCCTTTTCCATATAAACCTTAGCTCCATCCTCAGTCTCTTGCAGGTTCCTTAAGAATCCTTGCCCGCTGAAAAGGGTAACAATAAATCTTTGCCACCTTGACTTAAAGAATACTTGAGTCTGTGAATTCATTCCAGACGACCCCCGTCTTGTACTTCAGTCTTTGAGGGGTCTCAACCTCTCAGACCACAACACTAAGAACTTGCTGAAGAAAAGCATAGGCCAATCTCTGCCCTCAGGGAGTTTATAGTCTAATGAGAGAAGGCATTATAGTTCAATCATTTTTCAGTCCTATCTCACTCCATTTGAAGTTTTCCTCGGAAAAGACACTGGGGTAGTTTGCCATTTCCTTCTTCAGCTTGAGGCCAGATCTGAACTAAGAAAGATGAGTCTTCCTGACCCCTGGCCAGCCACTCTATCCAATGCAGCACCTAACTGCCGAAAGACACTGAAGTGGTTTGCTGTTTCCTACTCCAGTGGATTAAGGCAAACAGAGGTTAAGTGATTTATTCAGGGTCACACAGCTAAATATGAACTCAGAAAGAGGAGTCTAGACAACATATAAAAGGAAGCTGAAAAGGGGAGGTGAGATAACAGCACAGTCAGGGGAATGATGAAGTCCTGCAGCCAGGGTGGGAAACGATCTGAAGAGATACAGAGTTGATTTCATCTTGAATTTCTGGAGATCAGTAGGTCCAGAAGAACAACTGGGGGGGAAATAATGAGGTGAATGTTGGGAGTGCCGTTCTGGGGAAATTAGCAGCAGCAAAAGAGATTTTTAAAAAATGCAATGATAAAACATCTTCCATGTATTAGATTTTAGATTGTGAGCTCCATGAAGATAGACAGGAAATACGAATTTAATCTTTATATTTAATAGCACTATGCATGCATGGACTTAAAAGTTTGTTGACCTTGTGGTTAAAAATATCAACACAAAAATATGATAGACTTTTGTCAAAAACACCCTATTGCATATAGGTCTGCTGTTCAATTCCTTTTTTCCTTCATATTTATTAGTGGATTTGTGTCTACTTCAAAAGGGGGAATCCAGGAGGGCAAAGGACATGCTTTTTCTTTAAAAACAAATCAAAGACAAAAAAAAAAAAAACCAAACCGGTTTCTAAGCATTTCTTAGAAAGCTGACTCCCATCTACTTTTCCATTTTTCTATTTTCTTCCCTTCAATTCTATGTGATAACCAAACTAGACTACTGGTCATTTCCCATCCTGCATCGGAACATGTCATCCTCTTATGCCTGGACTGGACTGAAAATCCTATCTAATGAAATCTCTCCCTATCAAAGCACAGCTGAAGGGCTTCAGGACACTTCCTGTATGAAGGGCCTGCATCTAAGCTCATCTTTCTTCCCACCCTTACACGTCTTAGAGCTTGACTTCCCCTATGAACTTTTATTATTCTTATAGCTGAGTTTTATAGTGTACTTTAAAATTTGCAAATCCCTCTTAATTCTAATACCTTTTTCTCTGCTGATTATCTCCAATTTAGCCTGTCTATAGCTTGTTTGTATAATGTTTACATGCTGTCTCCTCCTTTAGAGCATGAGCTCCTTGAGATCAGGTGTTGAAATAAATCTTTGCCTTAGCGGATGAGACCAAAACTCAGGAAATAAGACAAAGGAGTTTATTGTAGCAACCCAAGGAAAAAGTTAAGCATAGCCTAGTAAGGAGTTTCAAACCATGCACTCTGCTTTTATGAATAAGTTTTGCAATAAAAGAAATACAATCCTGCCATCTCAGCTCCTCCCATATTACCTTACCATAGGAAGAGGAGATTGGTGATATGCCCTTTCCTACAAGCTATCTCAAAGTCTAAACAAGGTTTTAAAATGGAGTCCCTTAAACGACTCAGCACAAATTTCAATGGACTGTCTTTTACCTATATTTGTATCCCTAGCACTTAGTACAGTGTCTACCACACAACAGGCACTGAAATGTTTCTTAACTGGCTGACCCAGGTTCTCTGGCTCTAAGTCCAGTACTCATTCCTACCCTATTTCTCAGCATTTGTTTCCTCATTCAGTTGCTCTAAATATCTCTCAGTCTCTTCCAACTTAACATCCTATGAGCCAGTGACATTTAAGAAAATAATCCTTACAGAATGTTTGTGCTAGTGGAAGGCGTAATATAAAACACTGGACTATCAATCAGAGTATCTGGGTTCCAATCTTGGCTCTGGGTATTTAAGTATCTTGGTGGTGAAAACGATAAAGCCAGGCTCATTGTTCCCAAGAGTTTTTCAATTCAACAAGAATTAGTAGATAAAATTTTCCCCATAAACCTCTGAAATACAAGTTTAAAGTGCCATGCAAATTTAGGCTTAAATTCTTAACAAAGGCGGGTCTTAGTTTACAAAAAGGAAACAGTGCAATTCCACCAAAGAAATTCACTGGTTGGAAAGGTAGGACTCAAAAAATGTTCAAAAGTCTATTTGAATGCAAGCCCTATTGGGTTGAGAAGAGAGAAAGGAGCTAGGACTTCCTGGAATTATCAAGGGGCAGTCTTACTCACTCTACCAGGGGCGTTGGAGACGTAAAAAAAGGGCTCTGGGTTTTTAAGGGCTATAGTTCAGAGAGGGTGTTGGGATAAGTGAATTTCAGGCTTAACTGTGTTACTCTCATTCGTTTACATAAGGAGCTAGGATCTGCAAAATCAAGCTAAGATATTAAACTAAGGTATTAACTGATTAGTCTGCAAATTCCAGCTTGAGATGTCAGATATAGCCCAGGTATTTCACTGACTAGTTTTCAGTTTTACCTGATATAGATCTTCTCCTGAATTCTGTAAAATTCCATTGTATTCATTCTGCCTATGTAACCAAAACCTATACGATACAGCTTAAAACTGCTGCTCACTGACTCCTTGATTTTTGTATAATGTGGGTCAAGTTCTGAGAGTAATAAACCGTTTCTCCATATTTCTGCATAATTAACTTGTAGCAGTATCTTGGCAGTTAATTAAGCCCAGACAATTTCTGTCACATGGTTTCAGGGGCAGGAGGGCAGGAAGTTGGTGGTGAATTTCCACACCTCTAATTGGAAACCCTCACAAGAGCCCACTATCACTGGGCAAACAGACATACTTACACAGAGGTGCATTTATTATCATACATAAAACTACAAAAACAGGATGGCTAAAGATTCCCACCCTCAACCCTTCCCCCTCCCCCAATTTCTTGATCTGTAAAATGAAGGAATTAATTGGGTCAGACCATTTCTAAAAATCCCAGTTGTTTGGCTAGGTGTGGCCTTAAGCCTTCCTGTCTCTCAAACGCAGATCGGACAAAACGAACTGCAGGCATCCAAGAAAGAGATCTGGGTCCCCTTTCCAGGCCTTACGAAGCTGAAGTCTTCCTACTTTACCGCCTTCCTTCAAATCCAGCTTAAACCCCACCTTCTGCAAGAAGCCTTTTGCAATCCCTCAATTTTAGAGCCTTCCTGTCCTCCCTCTGCTGATTATTTCGAATTTATCCTGTCTATAGCTTGTTTGTATATAGTTACTTCTATGTTGTTTCCCCCATTAGTCTGTGAGCACCTCGAGGGCTGGAACTATCTTTTAACTTTTTGGGGGGAGGGTATCTCCAGCTCTTAACACTGGGCCTGAAACATAGTAGACGGTGACCAACTAGAAAAGACGGCAGCAAGTCCATGCAGCCTGTGCCACACCTGCCCTGCAGCGCTGGGAATTCAGCTCAGGGGCTCAGGTTAATCCAGGGCTGCTTGGCACGGCTCGTAAAGGGTCCCCTTAGAGAAAACTAGCCGACTTGCCCCGAGAGAAGAGCCAGGGCCCTTGCCCCCACTGTTCAGATCAGACTGCTCAATGCCCATCTCCATCTCCGCTTCCCTTTCAGGATCCACGGTTACCAAAGCACGTTCCGCCCATTAGCTCAGCCTGGGCACCAAGCACAGTCTTCTGCCTTCCAGATGCCGGACCCCCTCCCTTTCGGGTCTGATCCTACTGCTCTCCGGTCGGATCGTTCTTCCCCCATGGGGGAGGGGTCCTATTCCTGCCTACCCGTCCTCCCAGTCTGATCCTTCCCCCTCCCACACATGGAGCCAGATCCTCGCCCCCTCTCTCCCTGCAGGCTTAAGGGTCAAGGTCGGAAAGCCCAGAAGCCCAGGGCGGGAGGGGGAGCTCCCGCTGCTGCAAGGAGCCACTGCTGCTGGGAGCTGGGGAATGGGAAAGTGGGGGCGGGGGCTGGCGTGAAGGCTAAGAGAGAAGGAGGTGAGGGGACGCGAGGGATGCAGTATTCCTACCTGGGCAGGAAGGAGAAGAGCCGGGACACGCCCTGCCCCGGAACGCTCATTCCACTCCTTTGCAGCCCAAGGGTCGGGTCGTCCACGCCGGCCGCAGGCTCCAGCTGCCGGCTCCCATCCTCTCCCCTGCCGCCCGGGCCCCGCGCCAGCCTGCGGGCCGACAGGAAAGGGAGAAAAGCGAGGTGAGGGAGGGGCGAACGGTAAAACCGGGTCACGTGAGCCGGGCCAGTTTGCTGGCTGCTCCAGGCGTGGGCCAGACTTTCTTTTCTTTTTAATTATTTTTATTTATTTCGTTAAATATTTCCTAATCACATGTAAAATTTTTTTAACAATAATTATTTAGAATTTTGAGTTCCAAATTCTCCGCCTCCTTCTCGCCCTGCCCTGCTTCTTGAGAAGGCAAGAAATTTGATGTCCATTATACATGTGAAATCATGAGAAACATATTTACATATTAGCCATGTTGCAAAAGAAAACAATAAATATAAAGTTTTTAAAAAGTATGCTTCAATCTGTATTCAGAGTTCATTCCTTGTCTCTCTGGAGGTGCATAGTATTTTTATCATGTTGTTCAGTTGTTTTAGTCCTGTCCCACTCTTTGGGACCCCATTTAGGGTTTTCTTGGCAAAGATGAGGAACTGAGGCAAAAAGGATTAAATAAGTTGCGCAGGGTCACACAACTAATAAGTGTCTGAGGCTGTATTTGAACTCAGGAAGCCAAGTGGGGCATTCTATCCACTGCGCCACCTAACTGTCCCATTTCATCACAGGTCTTTTGGAATTGTCTTGGATCCCTATCTTGTTTAGAGCAGCTAAGTCTTTCACAGTTGATCATGCTTACAATATTGCTGTTACCGTGTACAATGTTCTCTCACTTCACTTTGTTTAAGTTCATATAAGTTTTCTCAGATTCTTCTGAAACCATCCTGCTTGTCATTTCTTATGGCACAATAATATTCCATCACAATCATATCCTATAACTTGTTCAGCCATTCTCCAATTGATGGTTATCCTCCTAATATTTTCAACTGGATGCAAACTGGCCTCTAATCTGTTGGTTGGTAGAGCCAAGGCTAGAGACAGTAGAGTCAGGACACAAAACAGAAGCTTAATTAATTTCAGATTGAGGAAAATGACATATGCATAGAGAAGGCCCCCCCTCTCCCCCTCCCCCAGCTAGACTAAAACCAGGTCTTGTATAGATCCTTGGCTGGACCATGACGCAATCATTTTTAGGTCCTGAGTTACTGTTGCCATGGGCTTTGGGGGAACAGTATTGTCTCAAGTCTTGGGGGTCTTGCCTACCCTGTGGGGCACAGAACCAGAGTTCTGTCACAGTAACAGGAGTATAGTACCTGTCAGTGACAAGGAACAGGGATTGTGAATATGTGATGAATGACCCTGGGAAATAAGGGGAGCTAAATCCCTCAGTTAATACCTGGTGCTGGTCCAAGTAATATACTTTGCCAGAGGGTGATATCATCCTGAGCACAGAGCTGAAGCTCAGGATACAGCCTGCTTGCTGGGCCTTAGCTCTGGGAAACAGGGTACTTCAAAATATTTTGATATATCCCCTTTTTGACCAAAGGGAGGGGGTATCTGAAAAAACCTCTACCCTTATGGCCAAATAAGGAGAGGCATTTTTAAGACAAGATACCATGGGATATTGTCCAAGGGGTTAGTTCCTTAAAGGGACCTATCAGAGAAGTAGGTCCAAACCGTTGTTTGAAAGGGGGATGGGGCCCATCAGGGCTTTGGTCCTTGGGTACATAACAAAAGGGTAGAGAGGGGAAAAAAAAGCTAAGACAGTAGACTCAGTCTTCCTTCGGAATCTTGGGAGAGCTGTCTCATCTGGATGTGGGCTGCTTCTGTGTCCATCCACTTGGTTGCAAGGGCTTGCTTCAGATGATCCAGGATTGAACAATGCAATAAAGTTTTTCTCACAATTAGTATTGTATTTATAAAACTTCTTGATTATAGAAATTTGCTACAAAAGGAAAAAGAGGGATATAATTATATTATAACAGAGTGAAAAACTCCCTTAGCTCTGTTGGGAAAAAATTCCCTTAGCTTTATTTGATTACAGGCATGAGTCATATCTAACAGCCAATCATGCAGCCACAGAGTGTCAAAAGGCAAGGCTTGGGATTAACCAGGTGGGGAATTTTTCTTTTCAGCAAGGAAATAGCACAATGGGGAAATAGAGTCGGGATGATCCTACTGAACCAGGCTTCATGCTAGGTTATCCTCACAATCTTTCCCAGGCACAAACATCTGCCTTTAAGCAGTTCTCAGACTTCCACACATGCCATTTTCTACTATTGGCCTTATGACAATTCAGTTAACTATCCCAGTAATCAAAGCTCAAAACAACAGTAAATTTACAATCCCAGGAATTTTTACCTAAAAGAGCAAAATTTCACTAGCCACAACTTAGAGCTTGAATATCTTTCCTAATGTTTCCCTAACAGTTAACATTTCATTAATTCTTTACTTATAAAACTACCCATATTCTGGGACTTTGTGTGTTTCGATTCTTATTTAAAAAAATTAAAGTTTGGTCACTATCCAAACACTGGAAGAAAAGTGCAGATTTTTTAAAAATTCCAAATTGCTTTTGAAGAGGTGATTTAATAAGTGTAATGGCTAATTTCTACATCACACTTTACAAAAGGCTTTTATGACAGCCACCCTGCAAATATTACTCGTGTTTTAAATTTAATCGCCAGACAGCACTGATAGATACTGTTGACTTCCTTACTCACCCTAGAAGTTTGTATATTTCCTGCTGAGTGGAAGTGTTCATGTTTAGTGAGTGCTATGCTCTATGGTGATCAGAAAATCTGAGACTTCCTATCCTTCATCTTCAACTCTTGCTCCAGGTGGTGGTTCACATGTAAAATCTATCCATTAGAACTTAATTCACTGCCCCTGCTTTCTTTTGGGCATTCTGATTTCAGTGATCCCTAGTCAGTGACCATAGCATAATGGAGTTGGTTTCTACCATATATCCTATCACATGCTAGAATGCTATACATTCCATTTGAATTGATTATGAATTTATAAGATTATGAAATGGGGGCAGGTACAACTCAGTTCTTTGGGTACTTATTGAGGAAGACCACAATTGGTTGTGGAAAATGGCAGCATTCACACTTTAAACACAGAGGATATGGGTGCAAAAAGCCCATAAAGACAGAGACAAGTATCAAAATATGGGCAGGGATACAGAGGCAGACAGTGGTATAGGAACAAGAGATGGGATGGTGAAGGCAGGTAGCTTGGGAAAGAGGATGGGCAGGGGGAAAGGCAGAGAATATCAGTCATGTAACCATGGATTAGAGTTGGGAGCACTAGGTAGCATGGCCCTGATGGAAGAGTATAGGGGATTGAGTGTATGTTGGACAAGTAAACACACCTACTGCGCCATTTCTTAGGAAGGAGACACAAGAGAGCTTCTAGCATCTCTCTTACTAGCAGGTTTGCTTTTGATCCTGTCAGACAGGAAGACAGGAATGGAATCATAATAAGGGGTTAAATAAGCCTTCTTTATTCAAGTCTAGTCTTCTCAAAGGGAGTTTGCTGATAATGGGAATACCAGCTCCTACAGTATTCCCTAACAATCCTTCTTGCAGGGGCCAGGGTGAATGGGGGGGGCAACTACTCCTCATCTCAATGGGGTCAATTGAGACCAGCACCACTTGTGCACTCCCCTGAATCCCCTCAAGCCTCAATGGGGACCGGTTGAAGCAAACACACAGATTCCCCCTCCCCAGCCTTGATGGGGGCCGATCAAGGCACACATAGCATTCAGCCTGCACATTCACCCTTGAGGGCATCCCCAGTCGCTGACCAGTGACCACTTGCTTTATAGGGCAACAGACAAAGAAGGCACATTGCCAGCAATAGCCTCACAATTCTACATCACTTCATCCCTATATCTACCGTCTGGCTGTGCAGTAGAAACTGTTTTGAACCTTGATTGTGAGAACTCGTATCTAACACCTGGGAAGTAGAGATTGTTATGACTATGGATTCTGGGAAGAAAACTTTAAGAAAGAATAACAAAAAATTCACTTTCACACACTAAAATTCACCTTACAGTATAGGACTTTGAGGTCTCATTTTTATATGATTTTTTTTTGGGGGGGAAATAGACCAACTCCTATCTACGCCACATAGGGGTTAGTTAATCAACATATCCAAATCATCTCAAAGTTATGGGTAAAACTGCAAAGGTATCAGTACTTTTTGATGTTGTACTACTCTAGAGCTGTGGAAGTCTGGAATTTGTCTGGAATTTACATATCATAGGACCAGAAACCTTGACAAGCAGCACCTAGATGGCTCCTGCTGATTGATCACATATTACCAGGATGTGAATATCAGTTAATATGTGATACAATTTGTAAATGATCCTCCTTTGATCTTTGGGATGATTTATACATGACTTCCAGGTTCCCCTTAGCAATCCTATTTTACAATATAATTTATATATATATATATTTTATACTGGCTACTTATAAACCTACTTACTATACTGACTGGATTCTGGGGGGGGGGATAGAGGGATGGGAAGGGGGGTGGGGAGGGGTGGTCAAGGAGACCAGAGCAAACATACATTTTTAACCCATCAGTTTTGCTCTTAATAAAGACTCAATATGTAAGCAGTACTGAATAGCCAGATAACACAACATATAACAATAAATATCTATCTACCAAGTAGCTGAGAGCTCATCACTCTCCTAACCTGGGAAGTCTCCCTTTGTCCCCCAGCCAGTTCTAGGCAGTGTAGTTTGAGTCCTCCCTTCTGTATGAAAAGGAGAGTTAACACACACAATGACAGAATGACAGAATTTGAAAGTTGGAAGGGACCTCAGTGGGCCATCTAGTTCAACTCGCAGATGAAAGAAATCTCTGCTAAAATAGACCCAACAAGTGGCCATTCAGCTTCTACGTGAAGACCTCCAAGGAGGGGGGGCCCAGCACTTCTTAAGGGAGTCCGTTCTATTCTAGGACAGCTCATTGTGAGGAAGTTTTTCTTGGCATCAAGTCTAAATTTACCTCTTTGCAATTTCTACTTATTGTTCCTGGTTTTATCCTCTGGGATAGAAAAGAACAAGTCT